AACATATGCATATCTGCAAACACACAGGTATCTTACTTTTCCAGAGCTCTTTCTCAATTATTCCTAACACAGCAAATACAAGGTCTGAAGCATTTAAGTGCTCTGAGAAGCTAAAATAGATGTCATACGTCCATATCCTGCAGCTTTTTTATCCAAAAAGGAAACTGACCAAAACAAGGTAACTCCAAATTTAGCATATGCTCATACTATTTCAAAAATATGCATCCACTTTAAGCCCTTTAGATCATATTTACTTTTACTTTGCATATATTTTTAAACAACCTTGGTTACATAATTTCTCAGCCCAGTGCATATTAGAATCAACAAATTAGACAGAACACAGTGACAGCCTGGTAAATTCAAGGCACGCTGGCAGAAGCAAAAATGAGAAGTGAAGGCTCACTGATGGAGAAGAAGGAAAAACAAGCAGAAAGGCTTAAATAAGCTAGTCTGGGGTCATTTAATGCAGAAGACACTGTTCTTATGGTATCCTGATAGGCCCACGCGATTGCAGGTAAAAATGAAATAGCTTATGTTTATTATAATGAGTTATTACTGAGTCATTATTCAAAAGTCATCTTATACTCAAAAATATTGTCACTTTCATTCTTTTCATCATTTAACTGCCATTTACTGAGCCTGATTTATTTACTTGGCCACGTGCAGGGCAATAAGGATATAAGGATTAAAAAAAAAAAAAAAAAGACCTGGCAGCAGACTTTGAAAAGCTCCCCATTGGTAGGTGGAGACAAATACAGGGAAAAATATATCTGTAACAGCATGAGAGGAACAAAATATGCTATACTAGAACTATGTACAGAGTGCTACAGGGGCAACCAGTTAGAGTCTGAGGATACATACATTACATAAGGGAAGATAATTCCCAATCAAACAAATTTCAATTTAGAAAAGCCATTATGTCAGGGGTCCCCAGCCCCTGGCCACAGACTGGTACTGGTCCGTGGCCTGTTAGAAACTGGACTGCACAGCAGCAGGTGAGCGGTGGGTGAGTGAGCGAAGCTTCGTCTGTATTTACAGCCGCTCCCCATTGCTCGCACTACCGCCTGCACATCCGCCCCTCCCCTCCACAGTCTGTGGAAAAATTGTCTTCCACAGAACTGGTCCCTGGTGCCGAAAAGGCTGGGGACCACTGCATTATGTGATATGCTGCGTTCCCAGGTCTGCCAGATCAGTTAGGCATCATCGCTGTGTGTGACAAATGGCAAATAAGTCTTGTGGACTAAATCCCACTGCTTTAGAGGAAACTGTGCAGGCAGTGGCATGCAGGAAGGACATGCCATTCTTAGAAGCAGCTTATAATTTATAAACACAATTACACGCATATAGTCAGAGCCGGGGGCATACCATTATGGACAAAATCTGAGTGAGGGGCAACCATGTCTTCTGGTATGCTCTCAGCATCCTTAACACAACTATGCAAGCTATTATGTCACACGTGTTGTCTTCCATTCTAAAGACTTCCCCATAAATTCTAATCCATTTCATTCTACACTCCTCAGACATTCTCCAGATTTTCCTTTTTTCACAAATCCACTGTAGCACTTAATCAGAGGCTGCCTTATCTTGTCATTTAGTCATTTCACTTGTGCATTGTCTGTCTTCTCAGTTAGAGATTGTGAATTCTTAAAGAGAAGGAACTGTTCCTCCTAGGGCTCTTCTGTCTCCTATCTCACCTGGCGCACAGCTAAAGTACAAAGTAGCTACTCAGCAAGTAGCTACTACCCTTTATTGAATTTATTATGGAGATGAAATCTTACCAGTGCAGTAAGTGAGATTGCCAAAGCCGTTTCCCAACAGATCACATTCAGTGGCTTAAAATACCCTAGTGGATGGCTTGTCCTCATAGCAGCAGACTGCAAACGCATCCTGTCTACATTTCAGGTCAACATAACACTTATTTATTTATGATTATTAATTATTACTGCAAAGACTAGTAAGTGGTTCTTACTACCTAGTAGATGCAAATAACAGGAGTTTTTCATCTTTATCATTATGAAATTGGGCTGCATAGATGGTTAACAGACACCTGAAAATACATCTAATTGCTGGTGATCTTTACATAAATGCAAAGGAGAGATTTATGTTCCTCGTGAAACAATCTCCTCCTGCGTCACACGACCATTCATAATCTGACTGCAGATCTAGACTGTGACTAATATTTGGCTTTAATATTATAGGTGGTTACCATGGAGGGAATCAGTAAGAGCATAATTGTCACTTCCTTGGAAAAATTTAATCCACAGATGGACCCCAACACTCAGCTGCACTGGTGTCCAAAACTAACGGGGACTTTTTTGCTAAATAAGGACTGATTCAGCCAAAAAGATATACTCTGACTAGAGGAATCTGTATCACGCATCGCTCCAAAAAAATATATTTACCCAAGCACTGAATGTTTTGGAACACTAGAATTTTCCTACTAGGGACGTAGTGAAAAGTCTCTCTCATTAATTAAAATGCACATTTATATTTTTTCTTTATAAGATGAAGCAATAGAGTTAATCAATGCTATCCTGAATTTACAAAGTTTCAGTTACTAACAAAATTTAATCCTTCATGTTTCCTTATTTAGCTAAATAATTAAGGTGAAAATTCTATTCAGACTGGGAAGCTGCTTATTAAAATAATCAACTTTTCTCTAATATTCTACTGCAACAAATAAGCCTCGCCGCATAGCATTACATGGGAGGTGAAAGTGACACTGATGAGAAAGACGCCCCTTTGCCCAGATAAATACATATATTTATTTGCCCCCCTCCCATCAGCAAATTTATACAAACAACCATAACCTTGTAACTTTGCATTCATTTCTTTAAAGATTTTTCCTATCATATGAAACTTTCCTGGCCTGGGGTGTATTCAGTCTACTTAGAGTGGCATATTAAAGCAGAACAATTTCAATCCTAATTGCAGAGAAATGGCATCCCTTTCTGGGTGACTGGTTTTGAACTACAGCTCATTACCTGGAAATAAGAGTGTTGCCTCTCTGAATTCCTGTGGTTTGGAAAATTCTTAGCCATCTACAGATACATAGATTGAATCATAGTAGAGAAGAGAACATCTATAGATGATGAATTTCTCCCTCTTTCCATTTAGGTTTAATATGCTTTGAAGGATTAATTGGACCTCTCCCGCCTGTTCCTTAGAAGAAATCCATGAGGAAACCCATTTCAGAGGAAGCTTATTGCAGTGCAGTGAGCTGTACCTCATCCTCTGTCCTCTGGTTATGCAGAGTTAGCCCCTCTGTCTCCAGGCTCTTTTAGCTTTAGGCTACAGCCTGGCTTTCTATACATCCTTCTCTTTTGCAGAGTTGATCCAAACGGTCTATAAATAACACTTGGCTTAACACAGGTTAAATTAGACCTCCCTCGTGTGAAGCATTATTCCCACGGAGAGGACTTTAAAAGGCAAGACAGTTGGTACCAGGGCTCGGACTACTGTACCCTCAGCAAATGGAATGAAACAGCAATGCGCTTGGCTATCAGAGAGACACCTTGCGCGCAACCTGTTCCAGACCCTTTGAATCTCAGCGTCTTCCTCGGTGCTAGGAAAAGTGGCCCACTTGCTAAGGCAGGATTAAGAGCGATCTGCAAAACCCAAGCGTATTTCACCAGCACCTCCTAGGGGCCGCGTGCGGGTATGAGGCTCGGAGGTGGGTCCAGGCGCAGACCCTTTCCTTGAAGTGTCAGTTTCACTCTCCCATACGCACAAATCCAGCCGGGCTGTGCCGCCCAGAATACGAGCTAGTTTGTTGAAGTAGTTTGGCGTCTCTAGGAGGCCTTTCAGAGGTTTAAATAAACTGCGCGGAAGACACATTTGATCGCTTGAGGAAATGCACATTCAACACACACACACACACACACACACACACGGATTTCAAACTTGGGGACTCCTAAATATCCTTTAAGAGCAAAGCTGCGTTATGACACCAAAGTACACACACACACACACACACACACACACACGGTTTAATCTGTAACGTTCCAGGGTCCACACCCGGTTCGCGCTGAAGCTGACGGAGCTTCTGAAAGGGTCTCTGGAAAGGGTCTACATGCTCTTGCCTGGCTGCTGGGAAGGAGGGCGGGGAGGCGCTGATGCGCGGCAGCGCTGAGTGTCTGTAGGAGTCGCCGTTCCAGAGAGTTCATTACTCTTTAATTGCTCTGATTTTAGATCAGCAGAGCGTGCCGGGCGCTGGTGCAGACAGAGATTGAGGGCGGGCCCTGCGAGAGCGAGCGAGCGGTTCACCCTTCCGAGCAGTCTAGGCGCTTTGTAAGTAATTGACCCAGAGCCGGGAGGAGGGATAGCTTCTTCTCCCAGGCAGCTGCAACCCTCGCGCGCGTCTGAATCCCGCTGGGTTCTGCGAGCCGGTCGCGGTCCCTTTCCCCGTTTAATTCGCGGCTCTTCAGCGCACCGCTGGTCCTGGGGGGGTGGGGGGTGGGCGGATTCAGAGGGTGGGAGGGGGGTGAAGGGAGAAGAAGACGCGCCCCGGCTGAAAGGCTGAAATGCAAGCCTCCCCGGCTGCCACCGCTTCTCCCGGACCCTGGCACCTCGCGAGCCTCTGGGGGCGCACGCCCCGCCCCGCAGCCACAGACGACAGAAGAGGGGAAGTGTAGGGCTGGCGAAGGGGTTGGAAGCTTTGCCCAAGGGCCAGGCTGCCACGAGGCAGCCGCAAGAGCCCGGCCGCGGAGCTTCCCACCTGCTGCCGGCCGGGCCGGGGCGCAGCTTCCCCCTCCCTTGCGCAGCCGGACCGGCGGCTGGGGCGCGGTGGAGGGGGGCGGGGCCGGACGGGAAGGAAGCGGCGGCAGGTTCTCCCCGGCGGCAGCCCCGCGGCCGCGGGCGCAGCATCCTCCCTCCCCGCGCGGTCCCCGGGGCCAGGCGCGCTGCGATTGGCCGGCGCGGCCGGGGGCGGGGCCAGGCGGGCCGGTGGCTCGCGACGCCTCAAAAGAGCCCAGGAAAGCTCAGAGCGCCCTGGAGCCCCGGCCAGCGCGCAGCCCGCCCGGCGCCGGCAAGCTGGGTCTTGGGAATGCTGCTTCGCCCTGGCTCGCTCGCTTGTACAAACTCCTGGATCTTACATGCCTCTGTAACCCCCCACTTCCACGCCATGTCCCCATGCTCCTGCGCCGGCAACAGGTAAGGGCTGCTGTGTGTTTTCTTCCCTCCTTTCCTCTCGTTGCCTGTGCGTCCCGGGGAGTGGACTCGGGCTGCCGTCCCCGACCCTCCCCTGCCCCGCCGCCCCAGAGGTGCCCAGCTGTCACTCTGCCTTAGCGCTCACCCACGCTCCGGAGTCCCAGACCATGCCTATAGAGCTTGTGCGCGCACCAGAACACCCCCAGAGCTAAAAATACTGAGACATGCTTGGAACAGTTGAGCAATAGAAACAGATTTCTCTGCAGCATCTGTTTGTGCTCATAACTTCCAATGCACCAGCTGTAGCGAGATACTGAGTTTGGAGACAAGGGCGAGGGAGCCTCTGTTCGCTCTCGCTCTAAGCGGAAAAAAAGGGGGGAGCGGGTGCGTCTAGAGTACTGGTCTCAGACTTTGGCAAACCTGGGGACGCAGCGCTAGATCTGGATCCTTGGTGTCTTCCCCCTCACCCCCGCCCCTTTGTCATTGCTTCAAGTGTAGCTTCGAGTACCAAACCCAGCGAGCGTCTCAAAGTTGCTTTGCTGGGGAAGAGAGCGGGAGCTCGCGTTGGATTTCAGCCGGAAGACAGCAAAACTTTCACATCCTATGTCACTCTCCCCTGAGCAACTTGTTATTCTTTGTAATAATAATATTAACACCGAAATTGGAAGACAGTGTGGTTTCAGGGAAGCATAGTGGTCAAACGACTTGATTCTGCAAAAGATTGCATCATAACATAGAGTCATCATGACAGTTGGAAAAAAAATCGAGATAGGAAACGGGTAGTTTATCGTCTGTGTCTGGGTAATCCTATCAGTAGGATGGTAACTGGAATACCTGTGAAACCTGGGGATTTTCATAAACTCAGAATTTACCTTTTAGGAAACAAGGCATTATTTGGAAACGTGTTTTGGGTATGCGAGGAGTGCATATTGCTTTGTACCACTTGTTTTCTTTTCGCGTTAATAATCGGTAGGCTGTCAGATTTCCTCTCACTAACCGCTGTTGTGTGTCTGCTGTATGTTACCTGTACACTTGCTAGCTTTTTCCTGCTCGCTTCCAACCCTGCGCCAAGTGTTTTATTTATATTTGCCATTATCCGGAAAAATCCCCAGGCTCAGGAGTAAGAGATGTTACTTTAAGGATGGTGGGAGGGGTGAGAGTTGGGGTCAAGGTCATGTCACTTTACTTTCAGCCCCTCCCCCTCCCCATTTGCTGGCACTTCCTTTTGTATTATTGCTCTCCATAGGGATATTTGTTCCGAGCTCTTGTGAATGTGGCGTTAAAACACACACACACACACACACACACACACACACTCGCTATTTCTACTTCCTTCAGACTTTCTGGTTGTAGAATCCCTGGTTAGCTGTAGAGTCCTTGTATGACTTTTGAGTAGCATGGGAGTCTGACCATGTCTTTACCTGAGCAGCCGGACTGTTTCAAGCTTTTTTCTTTTTAGTGTATATTTTTTGTTGGCCAAAGAGGTATATTTTTCAGCATGTGCACATGTTGAGTGAGGCTACCTGCATTGTTGGGTGTAAAAGTTATAGGGCTCACGTAGACGAGTGGGTATCCCGCCTCCCTTACCGCCCCTCCCCCTCCCTTCTGTTTACTGAGCCTCTGAGAGGTTGCTTTGCTAGCCTAGAGCTCTAATAGCAACAGTGTGCCCAGAGCACACTCAAGCCGGTCTATATGGCGTCAGCAGGGGAATAGCTTCTCTAGACACTCAGCCGACCTCTCTTTCATCCCAGGGCACTTTCTTTTACCATCCTTATTTCCTATCCTTCCTTAGAAACTTTCTTATTTGCTCCACGCCACGACCCTATGAGGGGACCCACGTATTCTCATTTATTCTTCATGGTTACATGTTTCTCTTCTTTTATACTCCGTATTGGGAATATTTCCTTTATGTTAAAAATGATTTGGATGCATTCATTTACACCGTGTTGTCTCCTCGACCGTGTATGTGGATCCACAGCTCTCTCTCCTTTAACATCTACCTTGAGAGTGAAGCCCTGAACTATTTTTTTCCGTTGCTTATGCTTCATTTTGGCTCGGCCTATAAATAGTCATAACATGAAGAGCACCACATGTAGCCTCTCAGTTTCCCAGGAATACTTTCTACCTCATTGGTTATAGCCTGGGTAAAAATGATGATCTGTGTCTGTTACATTTACATCAGGCCCCTAAATACTTTAGCTGAAAACGGGGGAATTTACACATTGTTCATCAACCCGAGTATCAATTCTCCCGAGTTGTGCCCATCGAGGGCTCCAATCACGTGATATTTTCATCTATTCTTAATTAAGAACGTATCAAGAATAGAGCCCTAAAATGAAGTTACACGAAAGCCCTATTCCTAATTAAAGTACTTTCCCAGATGCTCATGAATCGGTGATTTTCAGTGTGAGAAGCGCAGGCGAGGAAGTTTTCTGGTTGCTTGAGGCCGCTCAGGCATGCGGGCAGGTTAATAGGAAAGACGTTCTTCAGAGCGGAATATTAAGACAATTACCCTCTCACACGTTGGCAGGTGTGAGAGGGTAATCGTCAGCTCCACCAGAGTCTGAATGCACATCATGTGTGTGCGCACATATACACACGTAAATCTGTTTTGGAGCATACCTGCTGGAAGTGACAAAAGTTTCCATTTTGCCAAAAAAAATCCTTTTTTCCCCCCTCTCCAGGCAGAAATGGTAGAATTTCTAAATGATGCTCCACATATGGAACAAATTCTGTCATTAGCAATGGAAATAAGACAATAATAGTTGCTCGATACAGGCTCTTTTCAAGATTCTAAATGTGGAAAGCTATTCGTAGGAAGCTGGTAGTGTGTGTTTTGTGGAATTCAAGCTAATGTCCTGGGGTCAAGATTTTTGGAAAGTCGTAATTCAGTCTTTAGATTTCATATGGTTGTTATGCTTTAATCTGGAAAGAGTGCAGAAATAAGTCAGAAGAAATTTGAGACTGTCTACTCATGGGCCCTAATGGTAACTCAGATGGAAGGATTGTTTTGAATCATGAAAAGGGAATTTCTTGGTGTCAGCTTATAAGATTCTGAAGTCACACAGAGCTCAGGGATACAAGCACTATTTAAATGAGGCCTCCCTTGCCCCCCCTTCTTGGAAAATGCACCTGCATTCAGTGTCATGTTGTGATCTCTGTTTTTGTGTAGAAATGCTTGGCAACTTCATACGGGCCGAGTGAGCTGAAATCACTGTTTAAAAAAATTCTTTCCGTGTCCAGGATCTAGAACCCTGAGGAATAGGAGTCTTGTTTCTTTTGTCCAAGTACAAACTTCATGGGGAAGCAGACAAAACATTGAAGCAGGTGGAAGGCTGGGAAGGCACAGCAACTTCTTTTTATAAAGTAATTCAAAGGCACTTTCAAATCAGGCACACTTAGGTGTCAAAAGCTGCCAAAGTGTAACACACATTGCAATTTTCACAGATGACTAATCTCAGGAAAAATGTGTTGGGGCGCATTCTTGCATAATAACTTGGATAAAAAGGGAGAAGTGAAAAGACTGTAACAAGACATTTTCAAAGACAATGCACCTTGCCTCTCTTTAAGGGGGTGCCCGAAACAGATCAATGATTTGCTCTCTTTGTTTGCAGTTGGCTTGGCTGAACAGTCGTTCTGTTAAGTGCTTAATCTGAATGTGGCTTGGGGGGAGAAAGAAAAAGTGGAGTCTTCGTCATCAGGGCTTCGACAGATTTCTGATCCTGTCCATCTGTTGTTCATTGACCCCTTTAATACAGGAGAGAGATTTGGTGGTTTGAAAAGTCGAGCATCACTTTTATTTCTCAGATCTGTGCTATATTCATTTTTTAAATTTGTATTTGGTCAACAAAACACCCTAGACTTTCTCCTAGGCTTTTGTGAGTCCAGGAAAAACGAGCTTCTTTGGAGCAAAATTGGAAAGTCAAAGTCAATGGGTGGTTTTTACCTGGGCCGGGGTGGGGAGAGATGGAGCAGGAGGAGAAATCTGAAAACTACTATTTGTTCTCATTAAGTAAAGGTGAGTGCGTTCTCCATAGGAACAGAGAGCAAGCAGCGGCACTGGAAGTGAAAAGTCAGCTGAGGGACTCTTATGATTTACTACTGCAAAGTCGTCTCTGTTTGGGAAAACATAGACTTGGACTTCCACGAAATGAGTTCCAGCTTTATGTCAATCCGCTAAAGACCTGGTCCTTGGGCACAAAGGTGCTTACTTCCTAGCCTGTCATCACACATGACAATCCCATCTCCAGAGACTTTCAGGACTCTCATTGCTAGGCAACAGGATCCCTCTGTATCCCCCAGAGTAAACCTGTGTCTTCAAGTCAGAATCACTTGCGCTAACAGAGATGTTGTCAGGCGTTTCTGCCTAGTGGCCGCTTTCAGTGTGTGAAGTGACGGAATAAGCCCAAACAGTCTCCAGAAACTGGGATCCCTTTCAGATGATTAGAAGGGCTGTCTGCTCAGTTTTATCTTTTAAACAAAATAGTCGGTGCTTTTGGATTTCAACTTGTCATCAAGGGCTCTCCTATTCTCTCAACATGCACCTGCTGTTCAATTAATATTAATGTTCTGCGTTCATGCGAAATGCTCTCCCGACATGTCCGCGTTCTTAAAGCTTCATGGCAAACCTTGGAGTTAGAAAGTCTTTCTTCTGCCTAATCACCTGGGACCCCCAGCAAGTAGCGAAGGCAAAGGAAGAGAATAAGAGGAGAGAGGTAGCTCTGTAAAGTAGAATATTCCAGATCGCTGGCAAAAAATAGGGGAAGGGAGACCTGAGACTTCAGCTGAAAGACTGTCATGAACAACTAACTCTTCTGTGTTTAATGACTTCATGCTTCTAAATAATATAAGAAAATATTTTCTTTTCTGTCTATTTCTCTGGGGCTACAAGGAAACGAAAAACCCAGTAATTCAACGTAGAGGACATTTATCTATATCTGACCCTGTGTCTGGCTAGGAAATGTTGCCTTAGGGAGTAGACTTCATTTTTCCATGACTTCTTTTGTAACGAACGATCTCTCTCTCTCTCTCTCTCTCTTTTTTTTGGTAGGACCTGTTCTCTGGATGTCAGCTGAGTTACTAAGGTGACTCTGCACGCCAGGAGAGAGACCTTGGTAGAAAGAACCTTAAGGCTCTTGGAGACCCCCATCTCTCCTTCTTTTCTGTGTGTGTGGGTCTTCACTGAACATTCAAACCTGTTTCTCCAAAGGGTTTTGCAAAAACTCAGACTGTTTTCCAAAGCAGAAGCGCTGGCGTCCACAGCAGAAGTGATGGGCAGCGTACGCACCAACCGCTACAGCATCGTCTCTTCGGAGGAGGACGGCATGAAGCTGGCCACCCTGGCGGTGGCCAATGGCTTTGGGAACGGAAAGAGTAAAGTCCACACTCGACAGCAGTGCCGGAGCCGCTTTGTGAAGAAGGACGGCCACTGCAACGTGCAGTTCATCAACGTGGGCGAGAAGGGCCAACGGTATCTGGCGGACATCTTCACCACGTGTGTGGACATCCGCTGGCGGTGGATGTTGGTTATCTTCTGCCTGGCTTTCGTTCTCTCCTGGCTGTTTTTCGGCTGCGTGTTTTGGTTGATAGCGCTGCTCCACGGGGACCTGGACGCATCCAAGGAGAGCAAAGCGTGCGTATCCGAGGTCAACAGCTTCACGGCCGCTTTCCTCTTCTCCATCGAGACGCAGACCACCATAGGCTACGGCTTCCGCTGCGTCACAGACGAGTGCCCCGTGGCTGTTTTCATGGTGGTCTTCCAGTCCATCGTGGGCTGCATCATCGACGCCTTTATCATTGGCGCGGTCATGGCCAAGATGGCCAAGCCCAAGAAGAGAAACGAGACCCTGGTCTTCAGCCACAACGCCGTGATCGCCATGAGGGATGGCAAGCTCTGTCTGATGTGGCGGGTGGGCAACCTTCGGAAAAGCCACCTGGTGGAAGCTCACGTGCGAGCACAGCTCCTCAAATCCAGGATTACTTCCGAAGGGGAGTACATCCCCCTGGATCAAATAGACATCAACGTCGGCTTTGACAGTGGCATTGACCGCATATTTCTGGTGTCCCCCATCACCATCGTCCACGAGATAGACGAGGACAGCCCTTTATACGATTTGAGCAAACAGGACATCGACAACGCGGACTTTGAGATCGTGGTGATACTCGAAGGCATGGTGGAAGCCACGGCCATGACCACGCAGTGCCGGAGCTCGTACCTGGCCAACGAAATCCTCTGGGGCCACCGCTACGAGCCCGTCCTCTTCGAGGAGAAGCATTACTACAAAGTAGACTATTCGAGGTTCCACAAGACTTACGAAGTACCCAACACTCCCCTTTGTAGCGCCAGGGACTTAGCGGAGAAGAAATACATCCTCTCCAGCGCTAATTCCTTTTGCTATGAAAATGAGGTTGCCCTCACAAGCAAAGAGGAAGAAGACAGTGAAAACGGGGTCCCAGAGAGCACGAGTACGGACACACCCCCTGACATAGACCTTCACAACCAGGCAAGTGTACCCCTAGAGCCCAGGCCCTTACGGCGAGAGTCGGAGATATGACTAATTCCTCCTCGGGAATAGTTACTTTGAAACGCAGTCTGTTGGTCAAAGGCCCAAAGCAGTTACGCAGACGACGGTACTGGTGAAGAGGTGGTTTGAGACAAGTGACCACGAGGGACTGAGGCTAGCACGATGCTTTCAAAGAAAGACTGTAGGCTCAGAGATGAACCTAAAGCACTAAACATGCCTGCCCCCCCGTGACCCGATGGCACATAACACGTTGTAGAATAAGTTATGGGATGTTTATGTCTTGTCTTGTGTTTTCGTACCAAACTTGAACTTGCAGGCAAGCCTTGGTTGGTTGGGTATTTGACGTCTCCAGAATGCTTCTCTTTAGGGAACAAGAATGTTTTTAAATGGCATCACATTTTTAAATGTTTTCAAGGCAAGACTCTGCCTTAACTTTTGAAAAGCTGCTAACTACACGAACACACATTGTACTGTTGCAGTGTAGTTTTTCTTGTGTGTAATTTAAAAAGTCAGTGTTGAACTTTCTTGAGAGCTCATGGTATGCGCTTCAAAGTGGCAGGTATTTGGCTGTTAGTTGCCAAAACGAGAGCCTGATTTTTTGAGGCCAGTAATTTGTTTGCTAGAATTGATTTCTCTCTCTCTCTGTCTCTCTCTGTCTCTCTCTGTCAATCTCTTTCCGGTTACATAAGGGCATTATGTAACACTAGCCAAATGGTAGCCTCTGGGTTGTTGTTATTGGTTTTTTTTTTTTTCTCCATGATGTTAATGGGTGATCTCAAATTTTAAGTTAGACTACCTGAAATAAATACCAAAGAGAATGCACATTTTTGCACAGTGGAGCTTATACTAAAAAGGAAAGAAAGCCCCACGGCTGCCTTGAAATCAAGAGACAATAACTTTGAACCTCAGCAAGACCATGAACTGCCCTCTCCTTTTGCACCTTATTCAGAAAACAGAACATCACACACACAGTCGAGTAAGTGCCGTGCTTTACGTCTCTGTTCCTTCATGTAACTTTCACGTTATAGGAGGAAGAAGACAGGGGAAGAAAAATTCACACGCACGCGATATAAACATCTTTTCTTTCCTTCGAGGTGGTGCTAGCCAGGTGAACGCATACGACGTTGAGAGACGGTGATGTGCCCTTAGATTTTTTTCTGGGTTTTTCCATTTTTTGCACATTCCAAAATTTATTCCAGAAGACAAGACCTAGGTTGAAATGAGTTGGCATCCTTGATGCTGAGCCATCCAGCTTGAAAGATCAATAGGTTTATACCCCTGTGGCTGAATTCCTTGCCCTGACAGCTGGTACATCTCCAGCTTAACTGCATCTTCCAAAAGATGCCACGCCTGGCCTCTAGGCTGGCTCTTACGATCAGGCTGTCTGGACTGAGTCCTACAGCATACGAGGGGGCTGTGAATGCCGAAGTGGGAAGGTGGGAAGATGCCGAAGAGCCATTTTGACGTAGCTCATCAGCTCAAGTATTCAGGAGGGAGGGGAACATTGCTTTTTTTTTTTTTTTTTCTAATGGTACAGAGTAGGAATGAAAATGTCTCAGTAATTTAGGGTCAACAAGAGCCGTAGAAATTCTAAGAGACTCACGAGTAAAGGAGATAATGATCTAAAAGGGTCCTTTCCCCTTGATGGATGCACGCTCATGATTGAATCCGAGCTGATCCCTTTTGCCCGTGGAGCCCTAGAGCAGGCTACTTAGGGCACATTGTTTTCCAGAAGCCTCTCCCGCCTGGCTGCCTGACTTGCTAGAAACATTTTGTTTTGTCTTGTTTTCCGCTCTAGCTCAACATAATGGAACTCTCTTTTGGTTTAAAGTTCCTTATTTGTGAATTCTGGGGTTGCTGACTTTTCTTTTTAATTGGCGTCTCAAAATCAACTCTCTTACGGTATTATATCCCTGTATGCCATTAAAAAACAGCTTGTTCTAGAATCCTGTATTTTGTAAACTGTTGTCTGTGATGGTCTCTGGTTCTTGAACAGCCATATCTGAATGCGGTGCCTGCAATAATCGGACAGCCTCTGCTGTCCTCAGCCTTCAGAGTCGATGGGTTTGAACACTGTGGAGTTATTTTCACTGAAACCAAGTTAGAGATATCAAGCAAGTGGATGTTATTTTAAGTCCAAACTTAAAGGCAGATTAGGGAAGTTGTTTAGAGAGTTGGAGGGATTGCGTGGATACAGAATTTTCATTCTTCTGTAAATGGCAAGTGTTCGGCCATTGACAGAGGATGCTGATGGTTTCAGCTGCTGCTACTTCGATATTTTTGCAAAGGAAAATAATCAAACCAAAGAGTATTCAATGGTCTATAAATTAAATGATGATTCAGTGGAGAATGGGGGTGACCACAGAAAAGGCACCTTCCCATCACACAGCTCTGCCACTTAAAAAGACTTGAGATATTTGAAAGGGGGTGGGTAGGGGGCAAGAATGAGGGAGGGAACTCTTGCAACTTCTTTCTGAAAAAGAGAAAAAAAAAATCTAAAATTTCTGGTGCACAGGTTTGTTTTTTTTTTTTCAAGAAAATTTTGCAGAAGCTATGTTTTTAAAGTGTACATTTTATAAAGTTTATCAGATATTTTCATATTTAAAGCCAAATGTAAATAGAAATGTAAAGGGAAAAAAGTTGCCATAGAAAGTATGATTTCAGTGCAGCCATTTCTGAGAGCTAGTACCTATATGCTACCGGTTAGCATGGTTTTAGCAAATATTTACCAGCCTTATAAGGTTCGTATTGCTATGTTCTTCTGTTATTTATTTCAGCATGGACTGTTGATTTGAAAGCTTTTTCTAGTTATTAGTATTTTCACAGTGACAAGCTTTAAATGGCAATTTTTTTTTTTTTTTTGTCAAGAGCCAAGACACAGGTAATGCACAACGGTTTTTGTTTTTGTTTTTGTTTTTGCTGCATTTTACCTTCAAAACATTTGTCATTGACTGGGTTTCCTTAATTAGTGCACACATGTCATTAGAATGCAGGTTGAAGAGACTCACTGTGAATATCTGGGGTCTGTTCCGGGATCTGTGTTGGCTTCTCCGTGACAAGCAAACCCCCACTGAATTTACTTAGGAATTATTCCCTTTTAAAGAATTTTTGCCCATATCTGGATGGGCATTATATTTTTGGGAGGGGGACTAGATTCCTGGTTATCCTATTTTTAAAGAAAAGGTAGACAAAGTGAATTCTATTTTGATTATTGAGAAAGGAATAGTTTTCTATCCCTCTAAGAGTATACTTGAATCAGACATTTTAAGGATGTCACCCATAACTCTGAAACCATTTCCAAATTCCTGGTGAAAGTTTGTTTTATCTTTTTTTTTTTTCAATTCTATCAATGCATTATTTCTTCCCTTCACTTCCTTTCTTCCCTGTCAACTCCCACCTCAAACCTTGATGTTTATTCAATGAGTTCTGTCCCCTAAATCACGTCACTCTTACAAAAAACAAATGTTGGTTCATATTGGATGATAAGCCACTCAGTAAAGGTAAAAAGCTTGTTCTGAGAAACAGAGTGAGTGTTTTTTCACTCTGTGTCCAATAATGTTAAGGTGAAAAAAAAAAAAGAAGAAAAAAAAAGTGCTGCAGAGTCACTCACTCCCAACTAGAATCCCTTTTCTAGTTATGTTGGGTTTCAGCTCTGGGGCTGCGGTGAATTGAACAATCCCGGCCTTTGACAATCGTGAGAGTTATTATTTTCCCGTTTGCTGTCTTTTTGTATCTAAAGTCTTCCTAATGTACTGCACAAACCATGGATTGTACATATTTTTATATATTATGTCTTATTTTATTATTTCTAAATAAAAAATTAAAAATTGAAAACAAATCAGTGCAAGAATCTTTGGGCTCCCTGTATGGTTACCGTAGCATCCCTGAGATAGAAAGCAAAGGTTCCCAAACAAGAGGGCATAAACCCTGATAGTTTGGATAAATAGAACCAATCACCGAAACAGGTGTGGGGGGCAGATTACTTTAATCCAAGTAAGAGGAAGTCAAGCTTGTATTTTGTTTCTGGACAGAATGGCCTAGATAGAAAAGACCGAGAAACAAGCAAACAAAACTAACAAAACGTGTAAGGTTTAGATTTTGAGTCTCTGTGCTGACAACAGGAGTTACTCTTTATTGAGCCTAACTGGGTAGGGTTCTGGCTTTCAATTATTTCATTCCCCCGAAACCAAATCAGGTTATTATATTCTCGTGTAATAGATCAGAGTTGGCAAATATGTTCCCTAAAAGGCCAGATAGTAAATATTTTTGGCTTTGTGGAACAGTCTTTGTCAGAACTATGCAGCTCTGCCCTGGTACTACAAAATCAACCACGGAGAATACAACAGCAAATGGTGCGGCTGTCTGTCAATAAAACTTTACTTATACAAACGGCTGGAGGGCCAGATTTGGCACATGGTCTGTAATTTATTGACCTCTGTTATACAGGAAGAAACTGAGGCTGGATTTGAAAGCTAATAAATCATCGAGCGGGTATTCAAATTCAGGTTTTATGTGCTTCTAAATTTAGTTTAATCCACTAAGCTATAGAGCGTTTCAGGGTACCAAGGTACCAAGGATCTGTGGTCTCAGAGAAAATGTCAACTCCTCTGGCAAATTTCAAATAGCTTAACTGTTTTCCACCATTGGAAACACTGAGGAAAATCCCCATCCTGAAATATGGGTTGCTCCTTAATATTTTTCCTTTAACAAATATTTTTCTTTTAACAAAGCCCTTACTATGTTTTGAAGATGGTTCTACATTCTTTATGAGTATTGAATAATTTAATCTTAAGAGCAACCCTGTGGAGTGTGCATGATTATTATCCCTATTTAAGAAATGAGGGGACTTCCCTGGCAGTCCAGGGGTTAGGACTCTGTGCTACCACTGCAGAGGGCCCGGGTTTGATCCCTGGTTGGGAAACTAAGATCCCACAAGCCATGCGGTGCAGCCAAAAAAAAAAAAAAAAAGGAAATGAGGTCACTGAGGCCCAGAGAGGCTGAGTATCTTGTGTAAGCACACACAGCTAGTAAGTATTAGAGCTGAGCTTTAAACTGAGGCCATTTAATTTGCAGCAACGTGGATGGATCTAGGGATTATCACACTGAGTGAAGTAAGTCAGACAGAGAAAGACAAATACCATATGATATCGTTTATATGTGGAATCTAAAATATGACACAAATGAACTTAACTATGAAACACAAACAGACTCACAGACATAGAGAACAGACTTGTGGTTGCCAAGTGGGGAGGTGGGGGAGGGATGGATTGGGAGTTTGGGGTGAGCAGATGCAAACTATTACTATATATAGAAGGGATAAACAACACGGTCCTACTGTATAAGCACAGGGAACTGTATTCAAGCTCCTGGGATAAACCATAATGGAAAAGAATATGAGAAATAATGTACATATGTGTATAACTGAATCACCTTGCTGTACAGCAGAAATTAACACAACGTTGTAAATCACCTATATTTCGATTAAAAAAATAAATGGAGGCCATTTAGCCCTGGGCTGAGCTTTTTATCATTATATACTACGCTTTCCATTTGGAGGCATTCTTGGGAAAAGTTTCATCATTTTGTTTCAGGCCTCTCTGCTTCTCAGTTTTTATTCTCCTTGGTGATGAAAATGCATTCTTTTTCTCCGCGTAGGAGACTATACATGAGCACCCACCTCCTTCATAACCTGCTCTACAATTGCTCCCTTGGTTCCTGAGGAGAGAGGACAACTCACAAAGGTAGATTAATTACAAATAAGCATCAGTTGTGGGATTTAGGTAAATTTCAAACTTCAGATTAATTTCAGTTAACTAGGAATCGCTGAGGTCTGTCCCGAGGTGAAACCACAAAGGTCTGTTACTAACCAAACGGCAGGCACCTCACCACGTCACACACTTCTGCTTTCCTCCAGCTGTGGGCCGCCAAAGGTGTAACATGATCCGCTTGGTGATTGGTCCCATTAAACAAGATACAGGGTGGTAACTCCAGGCAACAGGTTGAGTGCTATATGAGTCCCACCTCTACTTTAAAAAAAAGAAAATTAACTTGTACAAAAAGAAAAGGCGAGGGTAGAATTTCAGAGGTTTTCTGCTTAGGCCTTTTCAGTGAAAGCCAAGCAAGGCCTCCCAACTCCAGCCTCTTTAAGCAACAACCTCTAGATAATACTCACAAAGAAGAAAACATGTTTCTCTCTAGAAATTTCCATATTAAAGCTCGAAACACTGACTACATCAATCAGATTTGCCTTCCCCAATTAAAAGAAACAAAAGAAACGAAATAAAAAGAGAAACCTAGCTTTTTGCATTTTGAGTGAGCAAAGGAGCCTAGTGACCTGATGATTTGAGCCACTATATGAGGTTTGTTATAATGACTTAAACATTTTTATATAATTATAAGGTGATACCTGCAAGGCATGGGTGAATAAAACTATCATAGTACCTGGCTCTGGAATAGGTTGACCAGCTGTCCTGGTCTGTTTGGGACACAGGGTTTCCCCAGGATGCAAGACGGGCAGTCCTAGAACTGGAAAAGTCAGTCATCTGCTTTGGAGGCTAGAGGAGTACAAGTGTTGGGAAAGTGAAGAGAGAAAAGGTGAGCCAGACTCAGCACAAGTGTTACTAAATAGTAAGAATAATAATGATGGATAATTACACGTAAGTGGTTCTCTTGGAATAACGGAAATTTGTTGCCTCGAGGGCATTCATTGTTTTGGAGGAATGGTTTGCTAAAATATTATACAATTCTCTGCCTCATTCAAAAAATAGTGTGTATTATTTAACGTTTCCTTGTGTGGTTCAAGCTACTAGGTGCGTCTCTTCCTGGTGGGGTGTGCTTTGAAGTCTGTCCATTAAACAATCAGCTACTATTTTGTCCTTAGCACCATTTAGGTTCTTTTTTTTTTTCCGTACGCGGGCCTCTCACTGTTGCGGCCTCTCCCGTTGTGGAGCACAGGCTCCGGACGCGCAGGCTCAGCGGCCATGGCTCACGGGCCCAGCCGCTCCGCAGCATGTGGGATCCTCCCGGACCGGGGCACGAACCCGTGTCCCCTGCATCGGCAGGCGGACTCTCAACCACTGCGCCACCAGGGAAGACCCCATTTAGGTTCTTGCTTCTCTCTGCTGTTTTGAGGAAATCAGATAATCCATTATAAAGACTATATGACTAATAATAGCCAGAAAGGTACAGGTGAGACACAAAAGACCTGGCTTGAGCGTAGAGTTTTTGTGGTGATGGTACTAATTTTCAGAGATCTTTTTTATTTCAAGTGTGAAATTACATTCTGAATGGTTGACTCTGTTAATGGGTTTGGCTTCTAGAAAATTCTATTCAGTTTGACCCAAAATTTATTGAGGAATTATTATATGGTACTGGTTACTCAAAACTTTCTGTATGGATTTTGTCTTCAATAGGACACAGTTTGGAAAAAGGGTGGTACCATTGTATATTCATTTTGTCTTAAAACTGAGTTTTATATACAAAAAGTCTCTGTATAATTATAAGTACCAGTTGTTGAATACTTATGACTTATTAGGCACTGCACAGAGATCTTCACTTGATTAAATATTTTTACTGGGTTGTGACCATGGATTCAAATATTCCTGCAACACCTTATTGGGAATCATTTGAGGTAGTTTTGTAAAAACTTTGCTCCCTAAGATGCTGTCCCTTTACTTCTTCCCGCTAAATGACCGCTCTGACCCCAGACACTGCTTAGATTAGGTCTGAAATTATCCTCGCCTTTGGGCAAGTATCTGGGTTCCCTGCTGTATAACGAACAAATGAATCAAATCTCACACTGTGTCGTTCTATTTGGCTTTTGTTTTTCAAATTTTTGCTAAAACTCTTGTATGTCTAAAGTCCCAGTTAAGCAACGTTTTATTTGATCCTGCAAACAAAGAGAGCATGTTTCACTAAATAGCATCTAGGAGTTTCCTTTAAAATATATGAACAGCTGCATTAGGCACTTAGACCCATGAAAACAGATTATTTACCAATAGAGACATTTCAAAGGCAAGTGTGGACACATCCCTGACAACACTTGGCAAAGCACCCTCAGATGGCAACCATTCATACAAAAACTCAGGAGAGAGGCTTCCCTGGTGGCACAGTGGTTAAGAATCTGCCTGCCAAGGCAGGGGACACGGGTTTGAGCTCTGGTCCGGGAAGATTCCACATGCCGCGGAGCAACAAAGCCTGTGCGCCACAACTACTGGGCCTGCGCTCTAGAGCCCATGATCCACAACTACTGAGCCTGTGTTCTAGAGCCCACGAGCCACAACTGCTGAGACTGCGAGCCACAACTACTGAAGCCCGCGCTCCTAGAGCCCATGCTTCGCAACAAGAGAAGCCACCGCCATGAGAAGCCCTCGCACTGCAACGAAGAGTAGCCCCCGCTCGCTGCAACCAGAGAAAGCCCGCACGCAGCAACAAAGACCCAGCACAGCCAAAAAATAAAAATAAAAAATAAATAAGTTTATTAAAAAAAAACAAAACTAAGGAAAGTGGATCCTCCGTGCCGAGGTTTTCTTCAGTCCTGCCATGAGCTCTTGGTGGTCAGAGGTCTCCTCCCTTCCTTTGCAGGCTCCGCTGAAAGTTACAGCCTGCATCACTTGGGCACATCCAGTCAATGAGGCAGCTGAAGAAGATGCCCCAGGGTTGCCATGGAAGTGGAAAGAAGCATCGAAGCACCTTCTCCTGCATACTCCTTAATTTAATCTGAGTGACTTTATTCAAGAACCAAAAATAAAACGTGCACCAGGATGTAATTATATAAAGAGCTGTGTTGGATGATAAATACAGTATGTACTTTTGCCTTGGTGTACAGCTCTCTTCTCCCTTCTATTCTGAAACATTTGAACTTTTCCAGCAGGAGTCTTCCTGTAAGGTTTAATTGAAGCGAGGCACAGATTTACCAAGATAAGGCAGTGAGCCTTGCTTGGGAAATTCTACCTTGCCCTGGCTCATACGTCTTATATGAATGTAGAGTCTCCTAAAACAAGGTCCACTTCCAGGGTCTGCTCATATTGGACCATCTAACAAGCTCACTGGCACCAACTGAAATTGCTCTGCCTTCAGGCGTTCACCAGTCTTAAACATTCTATAGGCTTATGATCATTTTCTAGGATAATAAAAAGAAGTGGATAGGAGAATGCCAAAACAGCAATTAGTGAAGGGCAACAAAAAAAATTTTTTTTTTAAATCCTGTTGCTACTTGCAATAAACAAGCTGTTTCACAACAGAGAGATGGGGGACGGAGATGCAAAGACCTCAGCAGTGGTCCTATTGCAATACTCACCTGGGAGAAAGGGGTCGGGATGTAAAGAGTCTGCCCCCATTAGAAGTTCACACCTTCTAATGGACTGATGAATTACGTTGGCTAGAAGAAAAAGTGACCTCTTCTTCCCACCATCCTTAAGTGAAATAAGGCAGTCCTGAACCTGCACATTGGCATGATTTAAAAAGGGCTTAGGGGGCTTCCCTGGTGGCGCAGTGGTTGAGAGTCCGCCTGCCGATGCAGCGGACATGGATTCGTGCCCCGTTCCGGGAAGATCCCACGTGCCGCAGAGCGGCTGGGCCCGTGAGCCATGGCCGCTGAGCCTGCGCGTCCGGAGCCTGTGCTCCGCAACGGGAGAGGCCACAGCAGTGAGAGGCCCGCGTACCGCAAAAAAATAAATAAATAAAAGATAGAATAAAATAAAAAGGGCTTAGGTTGCTATTTCCTGCTAGTGATTTGCATGAAGCTCTGTGCAATATAGGATTTACTTAAAAAGGAAAATGCAAAGGTACAAGGTGTGTCTGGTGAGCTAGAATACGATCCTATCTTTTGTAAAAAAAAAAAAAAAAAAAATGTGCTGGTCCAGATAGTGCCATTTGTAAAACTGGCCTGGCCGTATTGTTTAAATGCATATGAAAACCAGCTACATGCTTGCAAAAAAAAAAAAAAAAAAGAAAGAAAGAAAGAAAGAAAAGAGAAAGAAAAAAAAAAGGAACTGAAGAATTTCCTTGAATACCTACCTAAGCTTGGAAATTTTTACTTTAATGAATCTAGTATTTCCAGACCTTTGTAACCAGATGTACGGAACAACCACTCAGAGGAGGTTATTACTCTATCCATATTAGTGGCACAGTGGAGTTGAGTTCTTGTAGGTTGATGTGGAGAAAACAAAAACAAGTCAACAACATCAACAGCAAAAACCCCCAGAAACAAAATCCATCTGAACTCAAAGCCATGTGGATATTTAAAGCTGTGTTTGAGGAACTTCAAATGTATGTTCACATATTTATTTATTTTCCTTAAAGAAACTTGCCATTCTAAGAAATTCTTTAAGGAACCACCTATAAGTTTTGTGCAACAGATTTGATTTCTCCCTTTTCTTTTTATTTCTGTGTAAGATGCATTTAACCCCACTTAGTGAAATGTGATTTGCAGCCTGAGTCATCTCCTGCGGAGAAATGGCTGCAAAAAGTTGCCTTTTTCTAAGGACTTGAGACTTTTGAGCCTTAGTTTGCTCCCCGGAAAATAAGAATAAAAACAGAATTTTGTGAGATATAAAGGGAGAGAGTTTTTGTAAAAGTGCTTCATAAATTATAAAGTACTATACATATGTTAGTTTTATACTTGTAGTAGCAGTTTTTCATTTTCTCATATAGATTTTACTCCAAATTCAAGACATTTAAGTGCACCCAGAAAGAAGGGAGCTTGTCGCATTTGGGAAACGTTCACCAAGCATCAAGCACCTAGAACTATGATGGGTATCGAGCTTACAAAGAGCTTACAGTGGCATGAAGGAAATGAGAACAACAATTACGGTAATCTAATTTTATATTTCTATATTTGTGCTCTGACTTTGGCAATCAAAGCAGAAGACCTCCAGTACAGTGTCTGTGCAAGAAATGCAAGCATACTCTTTTCCACTCTTGCTGAGAAAATCCATCCCATTACCTGTCATGTTATATTATATGCATTAAATGCCAAGGTGGTTTTCTTTTTTTCTTGCACTGGAGTTTGTAAGGTGGCACTTATACACCTGGAGCCTGCTGCTACGTGAAGGGAAGTTGTTGTTCTTGGCAAAATGCCAAACCTATCAGATTACAGAATCAATTTCCTTTATCTTGGGGCGCTGGACTCTTTTCAGGACGCAAGAGGGATAGGATTTCACAGCTTGTTTGGACACACTGGTCGTTTCTTATTCTCATTTATTCCGGGAGAAGTGTGTAGTCTCCTGGCACACCTCCTAGTCGGGTCAATGCCTGAACAAGAAATGCATTAGGTGCCCCAGATGCCTTCAGCTGAACAAAATGGCTTTATTGCCCCAAAACACAACGGCTTTCCAACTGCCAAAGGTTGGCTCTTCCTGGACCTTCTAGCCAAACAAAAGCAGCCTTGCTCTTTGAGAGAAGTTTGGTAATATTTCTATCAGGGTTGGTTGTGTAAGAAAACCTCCTCTGTTAACCTTGGATCCCAAACTGATTTCCCCTCATTGGACTCCGAAGGATTCCTTCCCTATCACTTCCTTGCAGATATATGTATATTTTTTTTCTTCACCATCTTCATCACTTCATTTTGCAGGTCAAATCTTTACCAAATTTTCACGTCACCGAAAGCTTTCTGGAAAATGTGCTAAAATGAACCATCTATTTTCTTTTCGACAAATTTTTTTTTAAAAGAAAGCCAAATTCCTGACAAAGAATTATGAGGAGGTTCCTTTTGCCCATCACCCCACCCTAACACATACACACACGCGCATGAAACTAAATGCACTCACGATGATGCCCAGGGGCCTCATATTTAAGGAGTCTTGCTTGTGACATTGGTAAGATGAAAGGGGAAATTCAACCCAGAAACTGTACGAACATCACATAATTTGAGGCATTTGACCTGAATTATTTATTATTTACTACATGTGTTATGATTACAGGAAAGGAAATAATAATAATGATGGGATTGTTGGTGATTCTCGTTTTTTTCTTTATAATCTATTTCTAGTTTTCATATATTTTACCATGAAAATATACCTCTTTTTCAGGTCTTATTAAGAGTTTTGAGTTGCACTTGTAGTTCATTTTTCCTATTCTTGTTTTCTTTGTTTTATAATAACGGTTAGTCTATAAAGTATCATCTGAGTACCACTTTTGCCAAAATCCGTAAGTTTCTGGACCTGCCGCATCCTCATGTTATTTATGTATTTATTTATTAAAAGTGTCTGAGTCCTTTGTAATAACCCAAAGGTTATCGAAAAGCGTCTTTAAAAATGTCCAGCTGGATAGTTGTTTTTTTGTGTGCGCTTTCGTGTGTGTGTGTGTGTAAGGAGCCTATCTCATTCCTCTTGTTTTTAATATATAATTTTATTGAACTGTGGTCAGAAAACATAATGTTATTTTCTTTACAACATAATGGCCATTTTCTTGGGAATCTGCCATAACTGAAATAAAAGTATATTTGCCCTTTGTTAGGTGCAAAGTCTATATGTTTATATAACATATGACGATAACATATAAGTCTATATGTTATCATTATATAATTCAAAGATTCAATACCCTTAAATATTTTCTATCTGTTGAATCTCTTGACTGCCGAACTAAGTCTGTTTAAATCTCTGCCATAACAGTGGAATAGTCCATTTTTACTTGTCTTGAAGGGCACTTGTGTCCTGTATATCTCAGATATATTAAGTTATGATATATTAATATATTGATATAAGATATATTGTTATGTGATATATCACTATGATATACTGATATATTGCTCATGGTAATGGTTGTTAAATCTTATCGGCAAATTGTAACTTTATCAAATACAATAATTATCTTTTTGCCTTGAATTATTTATTTTTTTGTCAGACATTAATGTGGTAATGCTGTTTTAGGGTTTGGTTTTGTTTTGTTTTGGTATTTACCCAGTATATCTTTATTTTTCACCCTTTATTCTCTATCTTTTTATGTCTGATTATTTTTACATGTCTGATTTTTAGAACAAATTTGAGGAGGACATCTAGGACATCTATATTATGAATAATCACGTTTTCTATTTTCCTTTGCCCCTTCTCTTTCTTCTCCGTCCATTAATATATTAATGTATTTGTCTTTGTTTCTTCTTCTATTGGCTTTTGTATGTATGTTCTATTTCTTAATTTTAGTGGATGTCATTATGTGTTTAAGCACTGTATTTAAACAAATCATTCTGAAAATGCCTAGAACTTGTTTGCATTTTCATCTATTTTTTTTTCGCTAAGACAGATATGCCTATGCTTAGCATTTCTGCACCCTACAGTACATGATAAAAATCAGAGCTGAATGAATTTTAGTGGGTTTTTATTTTAAATGTGATGCAAATTCATTATGCTCCTAAATTAAGATGAAACAGACACTACGGTGATTCAAGTGGAATAAAGATTTTTACTACGTCAACAAAGGAATCTGCATTAAGTTGTAAATTCCGGGAAGTAGGTCAGGTTGTTCATTTGATATTGAGCACAGCCGCCTTTCCCAGTCTGCTCTTGCGAATCCGTATCAGCTTACCTCTCACCCAACATTGCCCGTGGTAAAGGACCACTCTGAATGTAAGCGGGTCCTCTGAGTCATTCTGATGCACTGGAGCTTGAGATTTCCTGCACGAGACAAGCATAGAGAGAAGGCCCTCACCCCAGAATGTCTCAGTAGCAGGCTTGAGAAGGGGCCCCAGAATTTGCATTACTAATAAGTTCCCAAGTGGTGCCCAAGACACTGACCCATGCAACCCATATGAGGAACAAATGGTCTAGTACAATAGTTCTGAACAGGAGCCCTGGAAACTTATTTTGACTGTAACAGGCTAGATCTGCCACCTCGGGAAAGCCATTTTCTCCTCCCAGATTCCAGGTTCCTCAAGTAAAAAGGAAGAGGAAGAGATGGTTCTGAGGGTCCAGCTCACTCTGGTTCGTTTGTTTTTTCTCTCTGTAAAGAGGCTGTGGTTTATTTTCTATCACATTTGATAAAGGAGAGCATCGCATTATTGTATTCATCGGTGAGTTTGAGATAATTACATGAAGACTTTTTTCTTTTAGTATTTAGACACCAGTAAAAAATTCGTACAAAAAGATACAATAGATTTGCTAGAGGCAAAAAAGAAGGGAAGTAAAATTCAAACAGAATGGAGAGTAGCTTATATAAGGCATGCCGTTAATATTTATATGTTTGTATAATGGGCCCAAAATTTGCCTCTGTGAATTTTTTTAGCAGTCAGGTTGAAGGAAAATGGTCAAAATAAGGTAAATGGTTTAGGAAATACAGCAAGTGCTGTGGTGATCCAAAGGCAAAGGAAAATATTTCTATTCAGGAAGGCTGGTTAAAACAGAGAGGACGATGGTACCGGGGAGCTTTGGAGATAAACCTGAAATGATGGGTATGGTTTGAAGGGATAAAGGTGGCAGGCAGGACATTGCAAGCAGAGCACCCACTGCAAACACACATATAAACATGGGAGACCTAAGGCATATCTTAAGAACCATAAGACACCCATCTTGTCTAGGGCAGGAATTTTGCTACCCCAGAACTTTTGACAATGTCTAGAGGCCTTTTTGGTTGCTGCAGTTGTGGGGCTGGGTGCTATCAGCATCTAGACAGATATGCTGCTAAACATTCTACAGTGCACAGGACAGGCCCCCGCGAAGAGCAAGTATTCAGTCCAATATGTCAATGGAGCTGCTGTTGAGAAGCCCTCGTCTAGGGGGTAGCTACTCTGTGACATTGAGGAGGAATATGATTGGAAAGTAGCTTAAGGACTTTAAATGATTTTTCTTGAAATAGAAGGTTGTGAGCAACCACTGAAGTCTTGTGAATAAGGGAATGATGTCGCTCTTTAAGAAGCTAAAATGATGGGCTTTTTAGGAAGATGACGGGCCCAATGCACACAGGTGACTGGAGGGATAGGAGATGAAGATGGAGCTTTGTAGACTAATTAAGCGCCTATGGCTCAATATTTCAGGTGAGAGGCCATAAGTACTTGGACTTGAGAATGGAAAGGAAGGGATTGTCTCCAGAGATGATTCAGAAAAGGGATGTACATGACTTGGCAACTGTTTAAATCACGGTGGAGGAGAAGGTGGCTGGAAGCATCAAAGCTGGTCTCGGCATGGCTGAATTAAGAAACAGGAATCAGAAGACTTCCCTGGTGGTCCAGTGACTGAGACTTCGCCTTCCGATGCAGGAGACGTGGGTTCGATCCCTGGTCAGGGAGTCAAGATCCCACATGCCTCGCAACCAAAAAGCCAAAACGTAAAACAGAAGCAATATTGTAACAAATTCAATCCAGATTTTAAAAATGGTCCCCATCAAAAAAAAAAAAATTCTAAAAAGAAAAAAAAAAGAAACTGGAGTCAGGAGAGAGGGCTGATTGGAAGGTTAAAGAATACACATTGATTTTGAGGGTGGGAAGGGTATTTATAGGTAGACACATCAGAAGGCTTCTGGAAGGCAGATAGATTCAAAGTAGCACTTCTGTTCACATTCCTAAACTCTTCCAGTTGAGCTGAATCCAGGTTACCACACTCAACTTGCAACAATGTAACCTTTTCATTCTTAGGCGGGAGGGGGCCCAGGCTTGGCCCTTCAGCAGTTCAAGGAGCCACCAGTCTCATCCTAGCTGTGTCCTATTGGAGTTCGCTAAATATTTAACAGTAGTCAAGGGCTGTCATGGGTTTTGTTTACTACAGGTTGTGTCTACCTCTGTGTACATCTTCCATGATTTCAGGGTTGTAAATTTCCAAGTCACATTGGTTCTGTGGGCACCAGTTCACAATTATGTAAATCACCTTCGCATGCTGCTACATATCCACTCGAGCCGGACGATTCAGCACATCCCAACATGTACATTTGAGACGGTTCCATGAATTACATTCTTTGTTCTAATCCTGCGTTGACTCATTCCCATGTATTTGCCATCACTCCTGCTACAACTTGACCCACGGTGCTCTGTTAGCCTTGTTATACAGTCTTAGTTTGCGGTGGACAAAGCTGCTGCCCCTTCTCTGATGGCAGGAATGGAAGCAGAGGAGGCCAGGAATCTATCAGTGCGCACAGCTGACGCACACAGCAGCCAGCAACTGGCATCTTGACAGGTTCATTAGACGGCTGCACGGACAGTTTAATTCCTTCTGACTTATATGCAAGGCACATTTTCTTCCATCTCAGGATTTCCTCGTGCTTCCAGCTCCAGAGAATCATGCAATTCTGGAATCCACATACACTGTGTATTCCAACCATACTTTCACCACGCGATTTGAGTTTGTGCCACAAAGAGGAAGCATGATCTAAGGAAACTGAACTGTGTTTAGTTACGAAAATTCTACCGATGTCTCATGACCTTTCTGTTAGTTGATTTGTCAAAGTGCTATCCCAGTTGCAGGAGCACAGGTGTTCCATGAATCTTGTTGACTGGGCTGGATTCGGTGCCTAAGGTCTTGAAGGTACTTGTCTCCGTGTCCAAAAGTCAAACTCACCCAAGAAGATGAACGTACACCAGGGTGATCCACTGTGAGACCTGTTGAAAGATTAACGTTATGGAAAGCCCTTCACAGGAGGGGGAAGGATAGGAGAAGGTTATGGAAAACCCTTCACAGGAGGGGGAAGGATAGGAGAAGGTATCTTCTTCTTATCTACCAGCTTCCACATGCCACGACAGAAACAATTTCCAGGCAGACAAACTGGCCAGTGCCATGCTTGGTGTGGATGATTTTTCCAATGGATACATCAATCCTTCACTGACTCAGGACCCTGAGAAACTTCCATCTTACTAGGCTACAACACTTCCTCATTGATGGAGGATCTGTCTCCTGGATATTTTGGCCTGGCTTCCAGGCCATCATTCCCTTCCTTGCTGCTTCCATTTTTCTTATGAACTGCATTCTTCATATTCCCAGAGGTTTATGGTAATCCTCAGCAAATACTTTTGCAGCAGAAGGTATCCTGGTGGGTGGCCTAAAAGTAAGAGAGACGAAGAAAAGCTTCATCAACCTCATAATTCTCTAGAACTTGTCCTGCTTCCCTGGCCCATTTGAAGGTGAAGTTCGAAAATTTTGTGTTTGAAGAAGATAAGGAATAAAGAGTGGGATGACAAACAAACAAACCAACCCTGAAAAATATAGTTTCTTGAAAAACTATGGAAAGGATCGACACTCCGTGTATAAAGGGATTAAGATGGCTGAATGAATGTTTTATTGAATCGTTTGGACTTAGAGGCAGATAAGCTGCTCCTTGAGGCTCTGGAAGGGCCTTCCAGAAAGTTACAGGTAACAAATTAATTCCTTAGGGGCCTTAAAAGGAGAACACACCCTTAGAAATTCTCCTTTCTTCCAGGTAAGACCTAGTCAGTCTTAATCTTTCTTCCCTCTGGTTTTCCTAATCTGGAACATCTTTTAGAAAATGTCACTCAGCTGTAATAAAAAAAGAACAAAATAATGCCATTTGCAGCAACATGGATGGACCTAGAGATGATCACACTGAGTGAAGTAAGTCAGACAGAGAAAGACAAACACCATATGACATCACTTATATGTGGAATCTAAATAAAATGATACAAATGGGCTTATTTACAAAACAGAAATAGACTCACAGATGTAGAAAACAGACTTATGGTTATGGGGGAGAAGGGGGTGAGGGATAAATGGGGAGTGGAGCACAGGGAGCTCTACTCAATACTCTGCAATAACCTACATGGAAAAGAATCTAAAAAAGAGTGGATATGTTTCTATGTATAACCGATTCACTTTGCTGTACACCTGAAACTAACACAACATTGTAAGTCAACTCTACTCCAATAACAATTTAAAAAAAAAGAAAATGTCACCTTCAGCCTCTAAAATTCAGCAGCAGTGATATGATTTTACAGAGATACAATTAAAAGTATGCCATTAGGGCTTCCCTGGTGGTGCAGTGGTTGAGAATCTGCCTGCCAATGTAGGGGACACGGGTTCGAGCCCCGGTCTGGGAAGATCCCACATGCCGTGGAGCAACTGGGCCTGTGGGCCACAACTACTGAGCCTGTGCGTCTGGAGCCTGTGCTCCGCAACAAGAGAGGCCGCGACAGTGAGAGGCCCGCGCACCGCAATGAAGAGTGGCCCCCGCTCGCCGCAACTAGAGAAAGCCCTCGCACAGACACGAAGACCCAACACAGCCAAAAAAAAAAAAGTATGCCATTAATAATATCTTAGATTTATGGCAAGTGTTTCCAGTGGTCTTTCTGACCCAGAGAATGCTTCTGTTCAGACTTTGTCAAAGATGGCCACCAGGGCTGAGTTGGGAACCAATGCCCGTCAGTACTTGAAAATCACTTTAGTCTGACTGCTCCCGGGAATTAGCACTTAGGCTTCCCAACTTTTCACACACGTTTTATGCATTCACACATACAGACACACACCGACATCAGCTCTAGGTAGCCCTGTATCATTTTCGACTGTGTCTTTACCAGCTTCCTCTGCTCTGCTCTTCCCTCTGACAATCTGAGATGAAAAAGCTCCACTCATGTTCTCACCTATTCTTTCCTCCATGAATGGAAAAGAGATTTAAGTCTACAGATTAAATGAAGTGACCTCAGGTTCCTGCTAAACCTTCCTTTAGTGTCACTTAGGATCCATAATTAGTAAACAATTTACGCTGAGAACTTCAAAGTAATTCATAAGCTACCTGTATTAATCTAGAAATTACTGGGGAAAAAAATCTGAGTTTATTTCCCTGTGTATAAGCAGGCTGAGTAACGGTTACCTTGCATGACATTTAAGTGTCTTGACAAATTCCATTTAATCTGCCTAGGTCAGGACCTCTAAAGAAGACGACTGAGTAAAAGCACTTTCATTTGGCAGTCCTCCACAAAATACAGCCAAAATAACAAAATTAACAAAGAAAAAGGAAAGAAAAGAGAGAAGAAATCTTTTCTTCAAAGGAATGAGGACGCGGTCAGCTGGAACCCTGATGAATGTCTGCCAAGCACAGTGAAAGCTGGATCATTCTGAAGAAGGCCATGAAGAGAAACTAGATCTTCAGGTCTTAAGCCATGTGGCTGATTTTTTTCCTTAAAAGTGAAAAAATCAAAGGTCCGACCAAAGACCATTTTTCTTGGAAAACCAAAATGTAGGAGCATGAGCTGGCCCAGGAAAAAAATCACACCACCATCTAATTCCATAGAGGCCCAGTTCCAGCCACAGGGCATCAGGGAGATAGGCAGAGGGTAGATGTAATAAGTCACCACCATTTTCCAAGATTTAACATTCCAACTAGAGAAATGTGAAAATGTTCTGAGTAAGAAGCCTCTGAGAGATGGGGCAGATGGACACGAGCGCAGAGCCCGGCATTTATTAGGCACTTAGTAAGTATTCTCTGGGATATGGAAAGAAGGAAAGAAGAAAGGAAAGGAGGGAAGGAAGGAGAAGGGCAGTGAGAAGCAAGCAAGTGGCAGGTGCCTACCCATCCTTGTTTCCAGGGTTACACCCTTGTTTCCAGGGTTACACCCTTGCCACATATAGATGAAGCCTTTGTTTCTTTTTTGGTTTTCTACCAAACATCTCAAGGCCATGTGACATTCTGGGTGTATCTACATCTGGGCCAGAAGGGTACATTGTGTTCTATCTTTAACTCTCAGGGCATACAGGAATAGTCTAGGTCTCCTGAAAAGTCCTGGGATGATCAACAGATACCATTTCTCTTTCACACTTCTTTGAGCAAATCATTGAAAATAACAGAAATACATTTAGTTTCAACAAAGGGGCTCTCTTTGGATTCCATGAGGATGAAGGTGAGGAATATGTATTTACATTTTAATTGGTGTCAAAATATTTGTATTGGTGTCAAAGTTAGAAACACATTAACTTTTGGGCTTCCCTGGTGGCGCAGTGGCTGGGAGTCCGCCTGCCGATGCAGGGGACACGGGTTCGTGCCCGGTCCGGGAGGATCCCACATGCCATGGAGTGGCTGGGCCCGTGAGCAATGGTCGCTGGGCCTGCGCGTCCAGAGCCTGTGCTCCGCAACGGGAGAGGCCACAACAGTGAGAGGCCCGCGTACCGCAAAAAAACAAACAAACAAAAAAAACACGTTAACTTTTAAACTCATGCATTCTAAAAGTGAGATATGTCTTATTAGTACTTTTCAGAGTTTCTTAAACTTTCTTTGGCTCAGTTTTCTCATGTATAAAATGGTGGTAACAGTATCTACCACGCATGGTGTGAGGATATAAACGAAAGGAATTTACAAAACATCTACCACAGTGTCTGATACATTGTGAGCATCTGATTTCCCCATTTTAGACAGGACCGTAATTTAATAATATTTTCTGTGTCTATCTTTCCCAAAGTACTTTGGAACCACTTCTTTTTTAAACCACATTAGAGTATTTGAACACGGTAAGATAGAGAAAGTAAAATCTAACACTTCTAAAATGTTTGAAATAATTCATTAAACTTAAAAAGAAATACCAGAAAATGAAGGGTCATCTATGTAGACTGACGGTATAGTATATGTTTGTTCTTTACAGTTTGAACAAAATCCAAAGTTGATTTTTTTCCTCTGACTTCCTGCATTTGCTTCCTTTCACTTATCAATGTCAGCAAATCAAAGAGGGTAGATCAGCGTCAGGCACTGGTGAAAGCAAACAGTCTAAGTGGGGAAGTTGGAAGAAGTCTCCCTGCCAAGCTCGGTCTTGATGGTGGATGGGGCTCCCTGCAAAAAGCCCTTGGCTGAGGTGCGGTGCTGAAATCAGCAAAGCTGGCCTCCGGTTGCCGGAACCTCAAGAGGGAATAATCCCTGACTTGCCTGTCAGCCTGTTCACGAAGTAATTCCCAACCAGGGCAGGAGCGCTCTCCAGGGTGTGTTTGGGGATATGTGTGGGTATTTTGGGATTTCACTGTGACTGGAGGATAATTCTAATATTTAACATCAGGGATCCAGGGATGCTCGACTCCTGCAATGTGCTGGGGAGCCTGCAGTTGAAAAAGTATCCCATCCAATTTGTAGTCACATGCATTAAAAATACTGTGATACACACACACGCATGTGCACGTACATATACGTCTGTATAATAAATAAATTATATATACGTATGAAGAACAAAAATGAATTCCATCTCAAGATGTCGATACCGACCAGGGTTCTTGGCCTTCTTTAATAAATAGAAATTGATTAGAGACCAGACAAGAAATTCAGGCAAGGCTTTATTGGGGCCCCTGCTGCAGCAGGTGGGGGAGTGAGAACAAGTAACAAGTTCCCCCGAGGGGGGGCAAACTGGCTCCTAATATGGGGTGAGGGAAGGGGTGTGTCCAGGGCGTCGGGCGGGAGTGGTGGCTCAGGTGTTCTGCCCACCCCTTTGGTGGTGTTGAGTGCAGGGGGCCTGCGCAGCACCCTGCTGTTGCTCCCAGCTCTTCAGAAGTCGCAGCTGGTCTTTTTGGCCTTTTTGTATCTTGTTGTTACTTTTAGTCCCTCATAGTTTCTTTGTGTTTTGTTGCTCAAGGAGACATGTGTCCAGGTGCAAGCCCTGCAGCAGGGGTTCCCAGGTCCCAGGTCCCAGCCTGTCTCAGTGTTAACATAAGTAAAGGCGTAGAATGACTGATTGATGCGTTTCTTAACAGTGGAGCTGCTTAGGGATTCATTCCTCTGTCCCTGAATGTTGATTTTCAGATCACTCTCCAATCCATTGGACCCAAGATGCAACTCTTGGGGATCAAATTGCATGTCCCCACCACACCCAACTTCTGTTAAATATTTAGAATGGCAACAGATATCTGAGAATCATAACTGGCTATTTGTTTTTTTTCTTTTAACCTCAAGGTTTAAAGGTTCTCCCTTAAAGAAGCCTTTGTGAGAAGACCACTCTGGGTAGCTAGTAAATCTGTGTGTGAGCCCTCATGCAATGCATCCTCTTCAGGAATGGGTGCTTTTTCAGGAAAGATTTTTGTAGGTGGTTCTGTTTTGTTCTGACCTTGTGTTTATATTGGGCTCCATCCCCACATTTTTTTTTCATGTAGTTGCATTTACAGAAAGCCAACTCATAACAAGATATGTATTTTTCTTTGTCCTATACTGGGGTGGGGCCTCTTATTTATATACACTGTCCAAAACAGATGCTATAGAAACACAAACTCTTATTTTTGGTGGCAACTTGTCTCCCCTAACTTCATGCAGACCTGAAGGAAATTATATCCTAAGAAAATGGAAGATGGCAACACACTGGTGAAAACTCCGTTTGGAGAACATATTACTTAAGAGCTGTATTGTCCAGGTGAAGTACTTTTAGGCCTTTTTAAATGGCTTTCTTGGGTTTGGTTATTATGGATGTATTTTCTCTCCCCGGCAGTGTCAGGGCCATTTCCTGATTCTTGCCAGCCAAAAGTTGCAACATCAAAGAAAAAAGAGCAGAGTTTTATGAAAGTACTTTCCTCGGAGTTTTCGTTATAAATTCGGAGGGGGAAGAGAGAAATTTTAATGTGGATCAAACTCTTGCTTGTTGTCAGAATAACTGTTGCAACAATTGAGTAGCTCGTGTGTTGCCCAATTTGACGGCAGGCTCCAATAGTCAAGAGTGTCCTTAGATTGTATGTATTTTAACATGCATCTTCATAGCATTATTTTATTCGTGAACGATGCAAGTAAAAATGCTTGCATATGGGGGCTTCCCTGGTGGCGCAGTGATTGAGAGTCCGCCTGCCGATGCAGGGGACACGGGTTCGTGCCCCGGTCCGGGAAGATCCCACGTGCCGCGGAGCGGCTGGGCCCGTGAGCCATGGCCGCTGGGCCTGCGCGTCCGGAGCCTGTGCTCCGCAACGGGAGAGGCCACAACAGTGAGGGGCCCGCGTCCGGAAAAAAAAAAAAAAAAAAAATGTTTGCATGCAGTTCTAGCTGTATCTACCTTATAAGTGCTTTATTTCTTGGAAGAGGAATTTTCTTTCAATCTAATATGAGCATATCTTCATCAGAGTCAAAGTCCCCATTAGAAACATCGTTGTTGGGTTTTTTTTAACTTTATTTTTTTTAGAGCAGTTTTAAGTTCACAGCAAAATTGAGAGGTAGGTAGGTACAGAACTTTCCCACACATGCAAAGCCTCCCCCTTTATAAACATCCCCCATCAGGGTGGGATGGACCTACACTGACACATTGTAATCACTTGAGGTCCACAGTCTGCATTACAGTCGCTCTTGGTGTTGACGTTTTGGGGGTATCGCAGTATCTTAATGCTCACATTTTAAGGCAGATGTTCAGTTCCTGAGATCACGTAAAATCAGAATCTTCTCAAGCATCCACCTAGTCCCCTGGAAGAAGTCATGTCAGTGACCAGAAGTTCTATTTTCCTCGTCGCGCTCTTTCTGTCTTACCCTGGCTTTCACATTCAATTCCACTTCCGGATTCTCTCTCGGCCTGGAAGTGCCAAGACGTAGCAAGGAAGTCCAGCTCTCCTCTTCCTAGAAACGAGAAGGTTTATGAAAATATAAAACTCATTGTGAAATGTCTAACCCAGTTGCACAAAGGCAACGGTTTCTAATTCAGAATTTTCCAAGGAGGGGTCTCCTGTGGGAGAAACCCTGTGCATGCTTTTTGTTGAACTTAATGAAGCTATGCTAAGAAGTTGCAGAAGAGCTTGGGATATCCACCAAAGGGTAACAGAGGACGCCTCTAACTGGCACCATCATGCGTCATCCTAGTCACACCTGTCAGGATGCCGCTGGTGTTCTGGGCCCCACAATGTGACTCCCATGACTTACTTCTGAGACGTCAAATAAGGATACTATCTGTTTGTGTAAACAAATATACTTTACAGTGTCAACTCTTTCCCTTTGGCCATACATACCCTATTTTAAATACTGTAACTGATAAACTACAGAAGTCATCGTGATTATTATGGTATCTAATTTGGTAGCAAACAGACCCTCCTTGAACTCTGAGCACAAAAGTCTATTTACTGAGATAAAAAATTAACGTGTTGACATCCTATGTGGCCTGTAAATATGTGAACATAAAAGAAAGAGAAAGTGCTATTTTCTAGAGTCAAGAGTTTTTCACTCTAAAACAGAATCATCACATTCAACCTTCTTACTCAACCCAAACCAGATGCAGATCCTGTGGATTAAAATGACCAGCATATCAGTACTGTGCATTCTAAAAGTCTGTTACTTTCCTCTTGATTCCCATAAAATGCTGTCCTACTCAGGCATGTGACGTTTGCATTCTAATTGACTTTTATGTTTTATATCCTCTGGACATCTCAAGTTCTAAGGACTAAAATCCTGACGGTATTTTAAATAAGTTCTTCAGTAGTTAATAGAATAAGACGTTAGCGCATCTACACATTGAAAACTGGATTGACTGAATTAGATTTTTGTAATAAATCACATACAACGAAAACACTGTGTCTTCACAGCTAAGACAAAAAACAAGGAATTTTTCACTTTGCAAAATGTGGCTGTGTAGATACAGCACTCATACCGCATCTTCCAAGTCATTGTTCTTCCTTAGATAACATCAGTATCGGCAGTTTATCTAGTACTTTGACTTCTTTTACTATTTAAAACCATAGGGCTTGGCTTCCAAGAAGATTTATAGGGCAGAGCTACAATTCGGTACCTATTCTAGCTCTCTTCATTGCCTCTTACAAAACAACTATATTTAGAGGATTTCACAAGTCTTAGACTCTAGAGTTTGGTGTATAAACACAATTCAAATGTCCTCACAGTTTTTCAAATAAGCAAAAAGAGAACACAGATCTGAGTTAGTGCTATAATTACAGTATCAAACACTGTGTGTGTGTGTGTGTGTGCGTGCGCGCACGCACGCGCGCGCATAGGAAACTCTTTCAACACCATACCAAAATGTTTACGGTACTCATCTCTGGGTGACGGAGCTATGAATTATTTTATGTTCAGCATGGAAATTTTATGGATTTGCAGTACTTTG